CCTGGCCTGGGCCTCGATCATCACTGGTGTGAACGGGTTTTTCCTGGGCCTGGCCTGGGCGAGGCCCCGTTACCATCGCAATATCTGCCCACGATAAAAACTGGTCAGATGATTGTCATACAATTGGAGGGAAAAAGATTCAAAGCGCGAAATTAAATACTTTAGTGGAACACAAGGACGTTTATATTGACGCCTGATTGCTTTGGCCTGGAGTTGGGCGTCAAGCCAGTGTGAATGGGTCACAATTGGGCCAGGTCAAGGCCAGGTCCAGGCCAGGCCTAGGCCGCTGGTGTGAACGCGGCTTTAGGCCAGGCCTAGGCCAGGCTCAGGCCAGGTACAAACCCGTTCACACCTAGGCCCAGGCCAGGTCCAGGCCAGGCCTGGGCCGCTGGTGTGAACGCGGCTTTATAACCGCCCTGATGAAAACGAGGCGTCGTGCAAAGTTGTTATGTTTCTGTATTTGACGCGAACCCTCGACTCGATCTTATTGTTTTTCACAACTAGAGCGTATTCTCGAAATAGCCTATTGTAGAACAATCAGTTTGTTTTGGATGAAAATCAAATCTAGTCTTTAATTTTGTGTAATTTATAAACAGCGAGAATTTTTTTGTTCATAATATTAATACAATATTATAATATTTTTATAATATTATGTACTATTTAAAACATGAGCAGGGGTGCTTTATCGGATATAAAGAAAGTATTATTGCATGTTGCCTGGTGGTTACCAAGCCCCAGCGCGGTCCATTGTTTGCTAAAAAGCTAACCTGAGTATCAGGCCCTTATGTTTTCATTCGCCAGGATTAATTGGCGGCGGCGAATGAAGGAGGGCCTAATACAATTCTTTACCGCGGCGCATGTAAAAAGCCAGATTCTGGCTTTTTCGTCTGATTGGCCGATTAGACAAACGATTTTTTAAATCTGTCATTTGATTGGCTGGTGCTAATTAGATTATACAATTGTTGACGTTGTTGATATATTTTATAACGAATACGATCACAACTACAATTATAGCCGGCCCACTAAACGGATGAATATAAATTAAAACTGCAGTAAAATTAGAAAATAATCGCAAATTAGCGAAATATATTGCAAATGTAGCTTATATTAAATCGCCATCAGATTGCACTATCAACTAACTGACGTATAGTTATAAAGTATACTTAATATATATATATACTTTATAATTATACGTCAGTTTGTTGATATAAAATACGGTAAGCGCCATGTAAAGCTCATTGTAGTCACTGAAACCTCTTCGGAGGAGAGAGCAATCGGGTGGCAATTTAATATAAGCTACATTTGCAATATATTTCGCTAATTTGTGATTATTTTTGTTAATTTTATAAGTTCATTGCAGTTTTAATTTAAATTCAGCCGTTTAGTGGACTGCTATGCTATAATTAGATTGTTGTTTAAATTTCTCCTGCGACATTTTGATTGGATACTAAATATAAACTTTGCTGTGGGTGGAAAGCGATCAGGTTAAGTTTTGTGTCAGGCTCTATTTGTAAAATAGAGCCTGATACTCAGGTTACTAAAAAGCGCGCGAAAATTCCATCTTTTTAAAAAGCGTAAAAAAATGGCTTCGCTTTCTCTCTAACTTTTGAATATATAATAAAACAATTATTGAATTCGGTTTTCGTGTGAAATATCGAGAATTATCAAGGCCTCGGTTTGTGTTATCCACCTCATCCTTCGGCCTCGGCGGAAAACTCAAACCTCGGCATTGATAATTCTGAATATCATACTCAACCTCATTCAATAAAAATATTGTGAAAAATGATATCAGCATTATGACGTGACTTCGTTAAATATTATCTCAGAGTTCCTTGTTTAGTCAACTGAGTTGATATGGCGATTTTACAGTTGGCTGTTAGCCAGTCAGAAACAATGAATCCTTTAAATACCTCCTTTTACCCCCAAATTCCTCCCAAATTTATTTTCCTTTATTTCAGCTATTATCAAAGATGTTTATCCGCGGAAACCATCCATTGTGTCAAAATACGCTCTACCAGTGATGTGGAAACTTCTCGAGTCTTCGAGCAGTGCATCGACTGGCAGTGGAAATATGAAGGAAGCCGTTCACGGTTTGGCTAACCTACTTTATTCTTTAATGGGACAATCTCTGTTTGAGCAGGCTCAAGCAAAGTCGCACAGATTACGTCAAAAGCTCAAAGAGCTATTGGGTCAATGACTGGATCAATGATTGACAATCTGCTTTGTGAGCAGAGAATGTTGGAATGAGGTCCAGGCCACCTTCCATAAAAGGCAGTTACACACACAGAGAAAATTCCGTCCCGCCAACACGCTGAGCTTTTGCCGCGTTCGATCTGGTCACCATTAGCTCAGCTTCGGCCGTACACCAACAGTCAGAACATGAAAACTGGCCGAATTGGGCTCACTACTGCTCGGATATTTTGCTCTTGCTTACGATAGATTCTCTATCAAGACCGTCTCTCCTTCAGACAATAATATAAGCTCCTATTCGTTAGGGGTAGCCTTTTGGTAATAACTTCCACGCTTATTTTAGAGGGAGAAATCTATAAGCCCGCGCCCATCCCTGGCCAATATGCCATTCGCTATTGGTCCACTCTCCAAGAAAGCCCTCTCCCTCAAGCGTGTTTGAAACAACTAATCCCCCCGGAGACTTGATATAGGATTTACCGTCAGGAATGGAAGGTGGTGGTCGCCTTTTATAAAAAAAACTTCCCTGGTGTTGACAAGTTGTCTTAAAAGAGAGTTGTATAATATTTAATATATTAATAATGTTTTTAACATTTGTACATACACAATGCGTGAACATTTTAAAAAGAGTGAAAATTCAATTTGAATTTATACATGGCTATAGTTTAGCTGTAAACATTTTTATGCTGAAATAATTATATTTGTAAATGTACTTTAGTAGTTGACCACAAATTCAAGACGTCCCTCGAACTGTTCACGTGGTGGCCATTACTTTTTTGTCAGATTTGCCATTGACAGTTTTGGTGTTAAAAAATGGCGTCAAAAATGGTGAAAAAAATCCTTAGCTTTCCAACAACAAATAAAGTCGAACGTTTTTTGAAAAAAAAGTTAAAAGTTATTATCCGCTTTACTTTTTTTCCATTTTCTCACTTTTTTGAAAACTTCAAAAGTGGCCGAATGGGCAAAAGGTTCAGGGGTCTGCCTTAACTTTTTGTCGAATTTCAGCCTCGTTTTTAAATTTGAAAAAGTGGTTAAAATGGGCAAAAGATAACATTAAATTTAATCTTAAAGCTAATCTTAAATTTTTAGCCATTTATTTTAATAGTGCCTGCTATTTCCATAAAATACGATTTGCGAATGAGAGTGCATTAAAATCTGACCAATAGCCACTATGAATGCGGGGAAGGGTCGGCTGTTTTAGTTCAATGAATTGTTTTATACATGCCTTCTCACATTATGTTTGAGTTGCATTGAAAAAAATTGATTCTTTAAACTTAGAATGAAAAGTTTGAAAAAACTAAAGTTTTATATATGACTATGTATTGGTATAATATAAATTTTAGTATTTGATTTAAAGCGCAACTGGAAAATTAGAAAATTTAAAGTGCAATTAGAAAATTTATTGAATGCAGGGTTTAGTACTGGGTAGGTGCATTTTTACTGACACAAGCAAGAGAGGGGGGTATTTTTCCGAGTTATGGCGAAGCAGCAATCGTCCACAAAATATATTGAGACTTTTTAAATAAATCCCCTCTCCCCTTATTTCAATGTTGAAAATCCAAAACGATCATATTAAGGTGACACTGGAACCGCAACTGTGTCACTGGCAGTTGAAATTTAACATATGATGTTGGAATTAAACTATAGTGCCTAACAACATTGAAATCGGGGGAGGGGGTTTGTCTCAAATATTTTGTGGACGATTGTCTGAAAATTGGGGGAATCGACTACAGGTTTTGTTTATTTATTCCATAATATTTTTTTTGCCAGCGCGCTTATGTTAATGTATACGAATAAAATTTGCATAACATATTTGGACTACATAGTATACATGCCGATATACATGTACTATATTATGCGATAGTTTGTCCAAGTTAAGTTAAAATACATACCTTACTGGCATCTAACGTTCCTTCTCAAGCTTGCCTTCGACTCGAAAAAAATATCTCGATAATGAAGAATGATTAACACGCAATCCATCACAAATCAAGATTTTTGTATTTTAAAGTAGTATGTAAATTCAAGGACAACGCCAACATGTGAACAACCGCGTTCTCAAACTGGAAATTGGCCATTCGGATTAGTTCAATTAATGTATATGCATGGCTACCTGTTTTCGCTCCAAATTCAAATTTTAACAACGCGTTACCACGCGTTACCATACGTGTTACCACTAATATCAAATAGTTATCATTGCTACAATAAAACTTCCGCAATAAAAATTCATTTCTAACGGTTCAAAACTACAAGATCGATATGCAAGCAATGATTAACAACGCATTACCACGAGTTGCGCACGCGTTACCACGCGTTACCATTTTCTTTTTTAAACTACTATATACATTTTAATAAAAAGTTGACGGTAACGCGTGGTAACGCGTTGCTTTATCAACAAAATACCATTATGAATAGAATTACTAGGCGTTAACGCCTATGGTTATCCGAGATAACGCGTGGAAATGCATTGTTTCAGTAATAGAAAAGCCAAATAAACCATTAGTACATGGTAACGCGTATGGTAACGCGTGGTAACGCGAGGTAATGTGTTGTGTTGGTAATAGAAAAGCCATATTATAAAACAATTAGTATGGCAACGCATTTGGTAATGCGTGGGAACACGTTGCTTCAGTAATTTATATTTTAAAAGCCATATTATACATTAGTTTATGGTAACTTGAATAAATTAAAACCTTGATAATTAAAAAATGCTTATAGTTTCATCAATTCAACATTTGTAACTAAAGCATTTATTTTCAACTTGAGTAACTAAAGTATTTATAATCCATGTGAAGTTACAGGACTTTCTCTAAGAACTATGCAAGGTTAATTCTCTAAGTTAGCGGACCGGTCCAAGAATGTACTCGACTGCCCCTACCCCATCCCACCCGGCCCAGAAAAAGACTTGATATGGTAGCATTATACAATGTAGAGATCTTTGTATGGGCCTCACAATACTATCCAAATTATAGTGAATAGTAAGACGCATATATCACTTCACAAAAATTCCTTAAATATTTAAACCTAATTGCTCCCACCCCCCTGGGAATTATATTCTCCACCCCCCTATTGTGCTGCACAGAACATGATTTGAAATAACTTCGACCTGCTGTCATCTAAGTTTTCTTAATTTCTAATTTAATCGTCTACCAAATATATACTGATACTTTTTGGATCACTCCCCCATTCCTTTTATATCTCCCCCCCCCTGGGCGACTTGACGTTACTGTACTATTCTACGTGTGAAATATAACTCAAATAGTACCATCTACAGTGACTACTACACATGCACACAAAGTGATTTCAAAAAAACTTCCAGATGCTTTTAACTAAGTCTTGTAAATTTTTAAGACAGTCGTCCACAAAATATATTGAGACTTTTTAAATAAATCCAGGGTTTCCCCTTATTTCAATGTTGAAAGCCTTACTATATTAAGGTGACACTGGAGCCGCAACTGTGTCACTGGCAGTTGAAATTTAACATATGATGTTGGAATTAAACTATATTGTAGTGCCTAACAGCATTGAAATCGGGGGACGATTGTGGACGATTGAGGGTGACAAAATATGATTCCTTAAAGGTGATCTACAGTCCGATCTGCGCATGTGCACAAATGAGCCCACTTTTTATGATACAAACAGTTTAACTATGTTTTGAGTTCTTGAAAAGCCTAATTGTTGTTTCTTGATCATTTATTATACTCTAGAAGCTTGAAAATATAAATAGTTGTCGAATAAAGCTCAATATTTTGGACACAAAAATGTAAACAAAGGCTTGTTTACATACGGACTGTAGATCACCTTTAAAATTTCGAATTACACCCCGCCCCCACCCACCCCCTTCCCCCTCCCTGGAAAATTATGACCAGCCCTAATATTATTGTGAAATTTCCAAGTATCATATTCATATTTCCATAGTTAATAATTAACTATGATATTTTCAAGTATTGTTATTGCAAAATCAAACCAAAGCGAAGGTAGTCTCCTACGCAGCTAATTCAGCTTTAGAGCCTGTTCGCAGGCTACTACGCAGCCTAGTTCGCGGGTCCGAGGCTGCGTAGGAGACTAAAGCGAAGGCGGAAGTGTCTCAAAACCTCGTGACCTCGTCTGTTTCTTGCTCAGTGTTTCGACTTTCAGGGAAATTTCCTTTTTCAAGGAAATTTTGACCGAAAAAAGACGTTTCAAGGAAAAAAAAGGAATCAAGGAAATCTAAGGAATTTTTGAAAATTCTAAGGAAATTTAAGGAATTTTTTAATCAACTGAAATGTTTTGAAGATTCTTCCAGGAACCTTTCATTACTTTTAAATTATATTACTTTCCTTCATTCATAACCAATGAATGCAATGTATGTGTGCAAAAATGAAAAAACCTCTTTCGGAGCCTGTAAACGAGTCAGTAGAATCTAGAATTTGAATTCAACTAAGTAGGCTGCACACTGCACACAACCTGAGTTTTAGGCGGAAATCAACTAGCGTGCTGTGTGCAGGCTACCATGTGTTGGTTATATGAATTTATTTGTCATGTGAATTTGTTGACTATTGAGAACAATATTTTAGAAAACTCTAGTATTTTACATTTTAAAGCTTTCAAAATTGTTGTGTTTCTGTCTTACTTTTATATATAAGGTCACCAGGGCATTTTTTAAGAATTCGTCAGTGGGGGGGCCATCTACAAAAAGGGACCATACTATACCGAGTGTGGAGCAATGATAGATGGTTTGTTGGTAACAAAAAGTTTGGTGTGGTATCGCATTTAATAGTAGGGGGGCGGGGGCAGAGCAAGGCTGTAGGAAGCTCTTTTCGTTTGGGGGGGGGGCTGAAAGCGAGGGCCGAAGGCCCGAGGAAAGTTTTAAATTTAGAGTCTCTGAAATGCCATTTCCTGGACTTTGGGGAAGATTTGACAGATTTCTGATTGTCAGAAAACAGCGTTTTTAGTATGTGGAAATTTAGAATTCAGTAGTACTAAATGGACGAAGGTGTATTTAATTAACGATATATTGGATAAGTTGCAGGAAAGTATGGGTAATATCTTCATTCTTTGCAGTTTGTCATGGATTAAATAATAAAGGTCTGCATGATTTTGAAAAATGAATGATTATTAGCAAATTATTGGGGGGGGGGCTGCAGCCCCCCCCCCCCTCCGCGGTTGCTACGGCCCTGGAGAGGGTCTGGGGTTTTCTCCCCCAGAAAATTTTTGTATTTTTCTACCCCTATGACTGCAATTCCATGCATTTTCTGAAACAGATTTTTTGGATATACATGCAGCATTACATTATGCTGTAGATAGACTGAACCTTCAGTTAAGTACTTGCATAGTATGTTTATGTAGATACCACAACTTGGCCGTCACTTAGGGAGCCAGCTTGATAAACTTAGAGTTCCCGACTCCCACGAAGCGCCACCATGGTTGGCACAGAGCGGAAAAATTTTGAAAATTTTGCGTCTCTAAATCATCGGAAATGGCATTTTCAAAGTCTTCTATACGTCTTTTGTTTGGCCCTTTCATTAATTCGTTCATTATGATTTGTGAGTCTATGATATCCGCGAGTTAGGATGGATTATTACGAGAAATGTTATCAAACTATCGATTACAGATATTTGATTATATGTATATATGATTTCAAATACTTCTAGTTTCGAAATCAAATTGTTTTTTTTTGGTGGGGGCCAAAATTATCCCCCCCCCCCTTATAAAACACTTGGTTGAGGGCCTGTTGCCCCCTGCGGTCACTAACTTGTCCAACAACTCAAACTCTATAGGGTCTGGGGAATGCAATCCACTGCCTGGGAAATGTTTAAAATCTAATAAGGTATTTATTAAACATAAAAGACAGGACATAAGATTCACAAAGCAAATTTCAGTTACTAGAATATCAAACCTCCCTTCTAAATTCCATGTTTTGCTTATATTTTAGAGAAAAGGGACTTTGACTGGGGGGGGGGGGCAAAATGGTTGAGTGGGGGGGCCACCATGGGGGCTGGGGGGGCTTTGGCCCCCCCAGTTATATAGTTAAAAATGCCCTGTCAAAATGGTTGAGTGGGGGGGCCACCATGGGGGCTGGGGGGGCTTTGGCCCCCCCAGTAATATAGTTAAAAAATGCCCTGATATAAGTATTGATGAATTCTAGTTGCCGAAATATACTTCGGTTAATCAAGGAAATTTCAAGGAAATTACATCCATTTCAAGGAAATTCAAGGAAATTTTAAAGCAAAATCAAGGAAATTTGAATGATGCCTTGTGGAAACACTGTTCTTGCTCTTGATTTATTTGCTTTTTTAATACGATGTGAGATAAATGTGGCAAAGAAAGATCATTGGTATCGAATCTTTAACTAGAAAGTGGCGCAATGTTTCTATGAGCTATGAAGCATGGCTTGCTGCCCGACCGAAGAGAAATATGGCTACGAAGACTGTCGATTTGAAAAAGATGTCGACGAAAATTTTCATTGTTCTATCTGCTACAATGTTCTTAAAAAACCAAGGACGTGTAGAAATAATGATCACATCTTTTGTCTTGCCTGCATCACTCAACATCTAAAGGTGAACTCTCAAACTTGTCCTGAATGTAATGAGCATTTGAGCGTCGATACGCTTCGTCGGCCGCGTGTGGTGAATAACATTTTGTCTAAACTAAAGATAAATTGTGATCATGCCAGTCGGGGATGTCCTGAGTTTACCTGTCTTGAAGATCTCAAAACTCACGTGGTGAATTGTGGATATGCACCTGTGTTGTGTTCAAATGCAGAGTGTGGTATGGAGATTAACAAGCAAGATAAGGTCCATCATGAGACTGAAGTTTGTGATTATAGAAAAGTGACATGTCATGACTGTGGGCAGATACAGGAAGATGTCGGAACATTGAAAGGAAGTTTAATGGAACTGAATGGGAAAGTGGAACACACAGTGAATGGAATAAAGAAGTTGGACGAAAAAGTGGAAGCAGCGAAGGAAATGAATAACGAAATGAACGAAAAAGTGAAGGAAATCAACGAAAAAGTGAATGAAATCAACAAGAAAGTGGAAGCATCAGGTAGACAAACGAAGAATGAAATCGGGGAAGTTAAGAAAGAAGTCAAAGATATGGAGGACAACATTTCTAAAGTGAACAAAGACGTGGACGAAGTCAAAGTCATGATGATTCAAATGTTAGAGAAGTTAAATATGCTTGAACTACTGAACAAACTGCCATCTCCGACTGAGGGAATGTTGAACACACCAAGAGAGGATATTTTGATTGCAGGTGGATATGCAGGACCTTCACGTGTCCTTGGCAAAAGTGTGGAAATATATTACTGGGAGAAAAATGGTTGGTTTGAGGTGTCGCCAATGAATGACGACCATAAAGAAGCTTCATCATTTATCTATAAAGATCAGTTCTTTGTTGTCGGGGGAGAACGTAGTAGGACAATAGAGACCTTGAATTTTGATGAATTACCTTTGAAATGGACGAAATTTCTTGGGGAACTGCCTTATAAATGTGAGGGTCATCAAACTGTTGTTTACCAGCAGAGTGTCATTCACATTGGTGGATATAAGTTGGGCAAAGGATGGTCTAACGTGATTAGTGAGTTGCAACTTACTTCACCTTGCATTATGAAAGAGTTGTGTCGAATGCCTCAACCACGAGCATATCATGGTGCTGAGGTATTTGAAGATAAAGTGCTGATTTTAGGAGGATTTTGCCCTGGTATTAAGGTTACAGACAGTGTATTGGAGTTTGACCCACAAAGAAATAAATGTAAAGTGATGCCAAAATTACCGTCTGCCTTGAAGAGAATGGCGACAGTTCGCTGGAGGGATGAAGTAATTGTGCTTGGAGGTCGTGATAAGGATAACGAAGTTCTGAATGATGTTTTCATGTACGACTCCAAGACAGGCAAGACCACAGCCTTACCATCCATGTTGGAGAAGAGATATAACTGTTGTGCAGTTATTGCTGGAAATACCATTGTAGTGATGGGAGGTATGAATGAGAAACGTCTCAGTTCAGTGGAGTGTTTTACAATGGGAGGTTCTACATGGGAGTATCTTCCTGCCATGAACAAACCAAGATCCAGAGCTGTTGCTGAAGTTTTACCTTCTACACGAAAATATGTGTAAATTGAACATTGAGACAATCATAAGACGTTAATTCATAATTAGGTAACGTTTTCGGGCACGATTACATGGTTCAGCTTTGCTGGGTTGAGGTATGGGATGATTTTGATTTATTGAAATATTCCACGCAGTGGCGTGCTGGCAGGGGGGACCGGGAGGCCATGCCCCCCCCCCCAGCTGGCAATTCTTGCAGGGCGCAAAAATGAAAAGGGGGCGCCGATCCCACGCCGAGTTTTGATAGTGGGTGGGAAAAAACGCATTCGAAAAAATATAGTTACTTCCGCCGAGAAAAGATGTATTTATAGGCTTATAAACAGACTAAGCGCATAGGCGACAAGGTGATATATTAAATTATACGGACTATTTTGTCTAACCGTATTTGCTAAATTGCTACCTCACGGCTCACACGAAATCGTTCATATAGAAACATGAACTGTGATCACACGCAATGTCTCATCACCGGAATATTGGTCAGGTTTTGAAGCGATCACGGGAATCATGCCCTTTTTTGCTGGTATTATATGCCCTTCATAGTATTATGCTTCACGAATCACAAGAGCGGCGCAAATTAGATAGTTTAAGTTATGATAATGTAAAGTTGTGTGCGCAATTTAGTTGTTTGCGCTAGAAACATCATGAGTAATGTGAGTAATGAAATAATGCTGAAACGCGCCCTTTTGGCAGCCAGGCAGGGAAACCTTAAAATGCATATGCGTGGGGTCCGTGTGTTATTGTATAAAAGAACTGTATGTTGTAAATGTATTCAGATCACTAGATCAGTAGAGAATAGAATTGGGATTAGATTAATCGCTGGAAGTTGTTAGCATTACATAATATAAGTACTACTACTACTAAATTCAAACCAAATTGCAAATTTCGACACGTTATAATGCCGTTTCCTGACCATCAGATTTCTGTCAAATCTTCCCTCAAAGTCCAGGAATTGGCATTTCAGAGACTCTAAATTCATTTTCCTGGGGGGCATGCCCCCGGACCCCCCTAGACAAACCTCGCATCTGCGGCGCTCGGCTCGTGCCTTCGGCCCTCGTTGATCAAGTGAAACATTATAGGGGCGCATATTTGTCGACAGCCCACTGCCCCCCCCCAGAAAAATAGTACCCAGCACGCCACTGATTCCACGGTTTATGATTTGGAGAAATGACATCAATTTCCCAAGATAGTTTGCCATGTAATTGATGCTGAACAACTAGCAATTTACAGTCATGACAATTTCGTTAAACTACAGGTTTGATCAATTGCATTCCAGCTCCTAATATTGTCGTTTGATTTCAACTTTAAAAACGTTCTGACTTATGTCGATACATTAAAACCATCCTGCTTCATCCTGAATCACATGTCAATAACTGTATAGTGATGTTTATGTTAGTTGAATATATACAGAGAATGTACGAAATTATAGCAAAGTCCATTCTCCACAGCCTTTCTTAACATGACATCGCAAATTTTAGGAGCCTAAAATTTTCTTTGTAACATCCGGCTGTGGTTTCGTTTAGAAAAAATTATTGCTTGTCCTAGATTATATAATTATAGTATCACGTAGTCATGACTATAAGTTATGATAAAACAAAAAATTAATAAAATTTTGTTTCTTAATTTTGAAATAAAACTATACTGGAAATTCTCTTGCTTTATTCAACTCTGAACAAACGAGCGAAATATTTTGGATCTTGAAGACTTCTTTTCAACTGAGAAAAATACACAAATCCGGCTACCAGTAAGATTGAAAATATCACTCCAGAAAACCGATGTCTTTCAATAATATAAGTTTCACCATCAATCATTTCGGAAGTACGTACGGTGAAATGCGCGCAGACAATAGCATGAGAAAGAGGCGTCGTGCAAAGTTGTTATGTTTCTGTATTTGACACGAACCCTCGACTTGATCTTATTGTTTTTCACAACTATAGCGTAATCTCGAAATAGGCTATTTTTGAACAATCAGTTTGTTTTGGATGAAAATCAAACCGAACTATCTGCAAAATCAATCGAAAATGTATCTAGAGTTTTAAGTACCATTTAAAACACGAGCAGGAATGCTTTATTATTAGCTATAGAAGACGAGAGCGCAGCTCGAGTGTTTTATATCTAATAAAGCACGGACTGCGAATGTTTTAAAAAAGCGACCCGTCTGATGAGTTCATTCCGTTTGGCAAATTAATTTTAAAACTAAACGTTGTCTAAGCCGAAAAAATCAAAGCTAAAGTTTATGTAAATGAACATAATTTTTTATCACATATAAAACCACCGACACGGCAGTGATTTCGTTTGTATTTTTCTCTTGAATTATTTTGAGTTTCTTATTAACTTTTGTAATTTATAAAAACGAGAAATGTTTTTTGTTCATAATATTAATTGCTGCGGAGCGAGCGAGCCTGAAGCGAGCGAGCGAATAACTGTGCTTGATATATAATTTAACTTAATTTGCGCTACTTACTGTAGTTCTATTTGCTTTTAATGCCCGCAGCAATCCCAACCTTACAGGTACCCTAGTATAATATTATTAAAATATTTGCCGGTTTACACGAGATAAGAAACCAGATTAATTTGTAAGGTTCCACATTTCGACATTTGTATGATACCACCTGCATCATCACTTGTAGCTTTATACCAACTTGAACTGGTTGTAGTTTGTTAAAAAATTCAAAATTGATAGTATATAATTGTATGTATTTTTAGTAGAATTTGTATACGGATTTACTAAATTGTTCAATAGGAGTTTCAAGTAAATCTTTAACTGCTATCTCTTGCTCGCGTTTGACAATCAGTTCGCGTTTCTTTCGAGAAGCGTTCAGTTTTACAACACCTATTAATTAAAGCGAACGCATGCATCATTAAAGTGTCAAACGTATGTTTACATATTAAAGTGTATTCA